TTCTTCTGTGACTCTGCCTTTCAAATAAAAATAAATGCTTAATAAAATTGCGGAGTAAGGGTTGATGGCTAGGGAAAACACTCCAGAAAACAATCACGGAGCAGTCCCTCAAGACTTTCTTTCTAGATTACAGTGCACACGTTGGCACAGAGGACAATACTGGGTGAGAAAGCAAAGATATGCACAATTCTAACTTAGCTCTAAATATGAAAAAAGTTTAGGAACATGATAACCAATTTATTTGACTCACATTTTCTTCTTTTTTCTTTGTTGGCAAAAGTTACATATGACAAAGCAATCTTTGCCCAAATACAACCAGAAGATCTCTTAAAGTACAAAATATAGTTTCCATAATGAGAGAGAAGCTTGGGACATTGCTTCATTCTCAGTGGTTATGTAAAGTTTCCTGTGGCATCCATAATGAAAAATTAGCAGCTGAGTGTCTGAGTACAAGATAAAAGGTTTTTTTCTGATCATTTTGGAGTTCAGAAGCCTGAAACCAAAGTGTTAGCCTGCTGGTGCTCCCTTGATGTTTCTAGCTGTTTGCTTCTCCCAGGTTCTGGTAGACGCAGGCACTTCTAGACTTCTAAAGCATAACTGCAGTCTCTGCTTCTTGCATCAACTCATGGAATTCTTTGATGTTTCTCTGTCTACTTGTTATAATACCAGCCATGTCTTAGCGTGACATCACCTTGACTAACTACCTCTGCAATGACCCTATTTCCATACAGAGTCACATTTTGAGGTCCTGGAGTTTACACCTCACTATATCATTCAGGACAGCATTCAACACATAGTAATGGTAAATAAAATAGTTATTAATAGTACAGAAAATAACATTACATGATCAAAAGCATCAGAGATTAATGAACTCCAGTATTTTCAGTAACATGCAAGCTTTGTTTCACTTTTCCTGCACTCACTTCAAGACAGGATGGTCCTCACTCTCTTTAGACGCACGTTTCCCTTTTAATCCCTTCTCTCCTTGCCTTCCCCTACCCTAAACACTCACTGTTTATCAACAGCTACTTAATTATCAGCCTGACAGGGAAATAAGCATGGCCCTCTTCCTTAGAGAGGTACAACCATAACTAAACTGTCCCAGATACTGGATGAGGGGGACCACATTACGTGTCCTTGGGGAGAAGACTGTAGCTTAGTAGAACATTCACAGCATCTAGAATTGGTCAGCCCAGGTGCATCAGCCACATTTTTAAGCTTTGGACAATGATTTCTGAAACTGCATTTCCTTGACTAGAAGGAAACCCAAGCAAGCCTCACTTCTGTTGAGAAGATGAAATGTAGTGGAAGTACCTTACTAACTGTAGAGTTGTGACCAAGTGTGGTTTCTGCTCCACCCTGGTAGGATCCATAGATGGCCTGTGATAAATGCACAGAAACCATGTCAACTGAGAAAGCCTCAGATGAGGAGAGGAAGTAGAAGGAGCAAAGGAGCATGGGTCAGGTGAATTGCTTAGGTAACATATTTGCCCTTATGCCAACTTAAGTTTAAAAGCTGAACAAGAATGGTAGAATATCCATCTATTTATCTTAAGAAGAAAAAGAAAAAAGAAATACTACCCAGTAATAAACATGCCTCCATTCTTCTACTACTTCCACTTATTTTTTATTTGTTCAAATGTTTACGTGAATGGTCCAATTGGAGAAAGCATCTGAAACCTAAATATTGAAGTTTATGGTACATTATTTTTGAAAAGGGGAAAGAAGCTATGATTAACTTGTATGTGTGTCACTGGTGTCATGTCTAAATGGCAATAAAAGGCATCATATGTGAAAAGTTAGAATTAAGAGGAGGAGAAAAAGAGAGTAAGTCAGTGACCTTTCCGTTATAATGTGAAGAATATAGTTCAAACACTAGAAAATATTTCTCTGACATTAAGGACTTTGTCACACAAAGACACACACACACACACACACACACATTTCTGAAATATTCCCCAAAAGTCTTTTAAAATAGCTTATAACTTTGTCTCTTGGTCATGGTAATTTCATTTGTAAGAGGACATGATCTAAATGACCAGTAACAGAAAAATGGTTTCACAAAACATGGCATCCTGTCTCTACAAACCCACAGGAATTAAAATATGATGGTTGTGCAGCAGCAGCATGTTAAAATTATCATGGTGGCTCACTCAATAAGGAAGGAGTACATAAGAATCCAAAAAAATAAAAACAATTGAAAGGGTTTCATGTTATCATTGTGCGGGGCAGAGGGGATAAAGTGTCCTCCGGTTATCTGTGTGTGGCAAGTGGAAATAGAACATTTCCAAGGCATGCCTGTCTCAGCAAGTGGAACTGCAGTAGTTCCTGAGGACAGGAGGATGGACTAAGGCCTCCTCTCAGAATGCCTCCTCTCCTCCTAGGATTCCTAGGCCCCTATGTTACAAGGAGGGGTGGTGTCCAGGGAGTGCAATGTTCCAAGCATCACTGGTTCCCATGAAAACCTAATTTATAGAATTAAAAATTAATTTTATGGAAATGAATTGAGACAGTCTTCATTAGAGTGCACTCGGTCTAATTGAGTTTGGAGTGATTGGAATAGCTATTCCTGCAGTAATACTAAAAAGATAAATCTTTTTCTTCTTGTACTGCTGGGAAACAACATATAGGGGTAGGTGAGAGCTTTCCAATTGCCACATGGTAGTTGCTCCTGCTTCCTGGAGGGCCCAGCATGGAAGGAAGTCATCTCAAGAAGTCATTCATGACAAGGAATCCAGTATAATTTGACATCCTCACTGGAAGCCAATCAAAGTTTCCCATTAGTGAGTAGAGCAAATTAAGGATTCATTGTGAGAACAAAATGGGAAGATGCAGTGATCTAATTCAGGCTCTCTTTTCAAGCTAAAGTGGCACCCTAGTTTAAATATTATTTCCACAATGAAAGAAGGATTATCATGACTGTCTCCCCAGCTTCAGAACTATACATTTACTCATACATTTTAAATGTTACCCATTAATGAATACACAGACACACATTGAAATATCTTCTGGTAGCCATGAGATACAAGACAGACCCCGGATTTCAGGATGAATAACTGGCCAAGGACTCCCACTATTGTGCTCTGAAATCTATGATTTTATGGCAATAAGGCCACATTGCCCATGCCTGCTCCCAGCTGGTGATTGACAAGGCAGGGGTGCTGAGGCAGGTCCATCCCTGGCAGACACAAAATCTAATAGCCATGTTGTGATCCTTTACAGCCTTGTAAGACCTTCCTTAGACCACCGGGCATTTAGAGAACATATCCTTGTTCTCCCTCTCCTTAACCTGAGGGGACACTTGCAACACAACTTTTCTTTCTCAATAAAATTCTGGCGCGTTTAATTCCATCTTGGCATCTGCTTCTTAAGGGATATCGCTATAGAGATATTTACACGTATGTATGTAGAGGATACTTCAAAAAGCTTACAAGAAATACGAGAAAAATATTTATTTCAGTGCCAAAAAAAACTGAAGCCAATATATAGTGCAAAAAAAATTGCTGAAGTCCATATATAGCTTTCCTAATAGTTTTTCTATGAACTTTTTAAGGATACTTTGTATGCATGGATTTCAAAACTTTTTGCATCAAAACAAACATTTTGTTAGTTCTGTTTTTCCAAGACTTTTCTGAAGTGCCCCTTTATGTGTGTGTTATGTGTGTATTTTAACCATAATTTGTCTCCAGTTTGCAGATGCGAGATAAGTCCAGATTTTTGTCATTACAAAAATATCCATCCATATTCTGTTAACCCAGCTAGTTTCCAATTTCATTAGTTGTAATTTTTAAAACAGTGTCACAGAAAATGCCCCTTCTTGAAATCCCTCCAAAGAGCTTATGGAGCAATGCTACACTAACACTTCTTTTCCACATATAGTTTCTGGTAGCATTAGGAATTTTCTGAAAAAACAGCCTCAAGCCTTGGAACAAAGTAAGGAATGAGTCTCCCACAATTCTGCCATAGTCCAGGCAGCAGATAAGAAAAAAAATCTGGAGTCAGAGCCGCAGTTCGTTTGTTCTTCCATTCTTACAATCACTCTTAGACTCTGCCAACCTCCTCTCATCCCGTGCATGTCAATCAGAGTTCTTGATTGCAAGTAGCAGGAATTGATTGTGGGTCACTTCCGTAAAAGGGAAGTTGTTGGACAGGTGTCAGCGTTCATAATCGATGGGAGGCTGAAGTTCAGTCTTTGGGGATATCCATAGTGAGGACAGAGAAAACACAGCAAAGATGTTTTCCCAGGACAGTTGGCAGGTGAGCCTCTTAGGTAAATAGACTCCAAGGGTTCCTATTCCCTCACATCAGATTCAAATCCTGGGACACAGACAGCACGGAACCTCAGAGTCTTTACAATTCCTTAGTGTTAATTCCATCCGATAACTCAGGGTTCTGTTTTATCATCTAGAAAGGAAATGTGGCCAGTGCAGAGACAACAGTGCCATCCATCAACGTCTCTTCAAAGGTCTCTCATGTACCTTCTAGAGATGAACTACGGGACCTCCAGGCAGATGTTAGGGTCCATTTGTTAATTGATTTTCATTGTAATAGCACAGTTCTGTCAACATATATAAAGGCAGGGATGTCCAAACAAGCAAAAAGCAGTAAGCAACAGTTTTTCTTCTCTCCTTCCTTGAAGTATATATGTCCATCTCTTCCTTGATACACAGACATGTGCCATTGCTTTATTTATGACCCCTAACACTTTGCCTTCTTTGAGAGGCAAAGTGGTATTTTTCTCCATCTAGTCCTTGTTTTTCTCCCTCTAGTTCTTATTTTAAGGAAACTCATTTTAAGCCATCACTGAAATTTAATTGCTCAGTGCAGCCATCAGTAATATCTCTGGAAAGGAATCACGGAAGCAAGAGATTACATGATATGAACTTGTTTTTGCAGAGGGAAAAGGAAGCCATGTTACATATAAATAAAATGCGAATGCATGGAACTAAATCCCAGGAGAGATTTGGCACTTAGGTAACACCTCAGGATTGTCCTTCCAGGTAAAGACCGCCTTGCAACAGGAAGGATTTGACCGGAAAAAGCGAGGGTACAGAGACATCAATGAGATCGACATCAACATGAATGATCCTCTTTTTACAAAGCAGTGGTATCTGGTAAGTCTCTACTTGAAACATTTCTCATCTTGAAACTTTAGATGAGAGCTATATTTCTGTGTTCACATTATTCAATGGGATGTTAGCGAGCATCTGACTCAATGTCCCTTGCAATATGTATTGATTTTCTATCAACACTGGGCAATTAGGGGCATCTTGTCCCCTAATCTTCTTTCTTCTAAAACTGCTAAAAAGCCATGAACTCCTTGGTCAGAGCTACTAGCAATACCTGATCATCCCCTCATAGCCTTGGCAAGAGCGCCTTGGTTTCTAAGTGAAGACTTTAAAATTGTGTGGAAGTCAAATCAAAGGTCTGGGAGTAGTATAGCCCAGGATTCCAACAATCTGAATAATGGTGGACAAAATAAAGTCACAACTATACAAAAAAAAAAAAAGTCGACTTCACCAGGAACAAGCCAGGAAGCTCAGGGACCAAATTAGCAAAAGTAGCTTCTTAAAGTGATAGCACGAAATCAGTCCCAGGTCCGGCGCAGTAGCCTAGTAGCTAAAGTCCTCACCTTGCACCAGCAGGGGATCCCACATGGGCACTAGTTCTAATCCTTGAGGCCCCGCTTCCCATCCAGCTCCATGCTTGTGGCCCGGGAAAGCAGTTGAGGATGGGCCCAAGGCCTTAGGATCCTGCACCCACGTGGGAAACCTGGGGGAAGCTCCTGGCTCCTGGCTTCAAATCAGCTAAGCTCTGGCCGTTGCAGCTGCTTGGGGAATGAATCATTGGACAGAAGATCTTCCTTTCTGTCTCTCCTCCTCTCTTTATATCTGACTTACCAATAATAATTTTAAAAATCTTAAAAAAGAAAAAGAAATCACTCCCATTGCTGCAGGATTTGGGACAGCCCAGTGTATCTGCTAAAGTGGGCATATCCACCAACATTGTACCATGATTCATGTGAATTCGTTGGGTTAAGGTTAAAAACAATCAATGACTCCAAAACAACCCCAACCACAGACCATACTGCTGGAAAATGAAAGCTAATTTGTAAAAATGAACGAAGCTTTATTTTAGCTAAGATGAAAACCACAGAGAGATGAAACTGAATTGTTGCCTTGTAGGCCTCTCTATTAAGACATGAACCATCATTTCATCCTGGAGCATCAAGCTTAACCATGCCTTACGCTTTTCGCATGGAATTCTGAAAACGAGAGCTGGATAATGCAATGAGCTTTCTGTATGTTAGCATGTTAGTCGGAATAGGCTAGATTTGCTTCATTGATAATAAACCTACACACACACACATAAAAATCTCAGTGGCTTACCAAAACTCACAGCTTATTTTTCATTCTTGCTACATGATCAGTGTTTCCTTGTCCTTCAGAGAATAATGCTGATCATGCCAACACTGCTTTCAGAAGCACTTCAGCAAGGAAAGGGGGCAACTTGCACATTGCCGGTTAAATCTTCAGCCTGAACATGACCAAGGGTGCATGAGCTCACACTGTATTAGCCAAAACAACTCACAGCCATTCTAAATCCAGACTGGGTGAATGGTATAGCTTTAGCCTGTACTCACCAGAGGAGCAGAGACTTTCCTCAACAGCACTACTGGCATTCACACAAAAGTTTTAGCAACACTGTAATAGCCACTGACCATGGCTAGTACAAACTCTGACATCACTATTTTTTTTCACAATCAATATTTGAAATGGTCTTTGCATATTTAAGAAAATCTATGATAAAGAAAATTTACAAAGTTATAGAAAAAGAGTGTAGTGAACTACTAATTTAGAATTTTTCTTTCTTTCCCCTTATTTTTTAAATTTTTGAATCGGGGGGGAACACAAGGTTTTATTTTTCTGTATTAGAACATAGACAAAAGATGAGCCATGTCTCTTTAGTTCATTTCAACAAATATTTGTGAGCAACACTGAGTATAATGGCAACAAAATTGCTCATAGGATATGGTCCCTCCTGCAGAGAATATTGTCATTTGGTGAGGAAACTGTGTTCAAATAAGAATAACCAAGACTATATGAGCTAAATTTAAAAATGTAAGTATGATCAAAGATCTATTCAAGTGAGCATTTAATTCTCCAGGAGAATTTCTTACAGTTCTGAGGACTTTATACAGAAGTTTAAAGACTTCGTTCTGGCTATAATATATGTGGAAACTGAAACTGCTTACAAATTTACATAAAACAGAAATAATCAACTTTTTATCTCCAAAAAAAAAATTTTGGAGAGGACTGCTATAAGAGAGTGGTGGAGGGGAAAGAACACCCAAAATGCTATTTCATGGGCAATGGGATCCTTGAATATCAAACAACTGCAGAGTTAGTCAAGCCAATATTTATGCAGGGGGTTTGCAAGTTCACCCTAATAAGATTCTCTGCTTTGGAATTCCTGTGCCAGATCAACACAGGACAAGCTGATGGGACTCCTGGCCTTGACTTGAATGTGGCAGAAGCCTGGGAGCTGGGATACACAGGAAAAGGTGTGACCATCGGAATTATGGATGATGGTAAGTATTTTGAAGCTTCAGATGATTTGATATCATTTGCAACATAATGCGTCTTTGCATGCCTTCAAAATGTAAAAGATTTACTGGTTCCAGGTACCAACCTAATTACCACAAATGGGCTTGATTGCATCTTCTCCTGTCTCTACATCAGTGGTCCTCAAACTTGATGATGACTTTAACAAATATCTTTATAATTAATGAATAAAAAATTGAAGCAGATGAACTAAAAGTTGCTTATCACTCAACCATGATTTCTTATTGAATCACATGAATTAATGTCTAAAGAAATTCAATTCAATTTTGTTTACATCATCACATAAAACTCTATTGCAGAGTGTGGGTCTCGGTCCATGAAACAGCTTTGTACTAACAGATTTGTGATTTGGGGATATTTGGCTTTATTGCTGATTTCAAAATGAACCCTTGTAGGACAGTCCTTGAATACTTTATATCTCAGCCACCTTCTATAGAATATTCTATGCTACACACCTGCCAGATGAACATTTAGCTGAGCTCTGTTCTCTATAGCTTAAAATACTGTGTATCTATGGTATGTATTGGTGTTTTTCCAACTGCACATGTCCTTGATTCTGTGTTCTGTGGAGTCACCACTCTGCAGCCACCCGCTGGGGACCGGCCTCTGCTCTTCATCAGGCAGCAGTGCCCCCCGTAAAGAGCTCCAGGATACACTGTCAGTCCAGGTACACACAAGGGTCACACAGGATGGAACACTGGAGCGTTTCCCTTCAGAAGATCCTCAAAGAACACTGTGTTCTCTAAAGCAAGCCTTTGAAGCAGAATTGATGGGGAAAGCAAGAGGAGTCAGCATGCTTCAAATCTGTGTTCTGTTTGTATGGGCTCATTAACTAGCAGCACAAAAACAATGCTCCCGCATCTTCTGATGTGTGAGACGTTTTGAAGTGCAGGTAAAAGCTTTCTCCATTGGGCTTTCAAGAGAATAAAGGTCTCTATACACAAGTGGATGAGGACAGACATCAGCAGTTTATAAATGTCTTTTGTATCTTCATTCTTTGGCTTGGAAATGTGCCCAAAAGGGTTGAAGCTCACTCACTCAGAGGAAAAAAAAAGGCATGCAGGTTTGGGGAAACCTTCCTGGGATGTATCATGATGACCATTTCTATCTACAGTGACCCTACAGTGGCAACACATGCCACTGCCCTTTGGAATCTCCATCAGCACTGCAGAGACCCTTTTCAAGATTTTTTACTTAAACCCCCTAGACTGACTTTTAAGTCATCTTTTCCAAAGACAGAAAGAGAATGACTTCTGACTCTGTTCCATAGCAAGAGGCTGAGGCCTTTAGGAAAATCTAAGTAGATTTTCTTGTCTAACCTTATTTCTTTTGTTAATTTAAGGTGTGGGGTACAAAAAAGTGAATTCTCTCCCTCTCAAGGCTCATAACTTCTCCATTGTTTCGTTCATCTACTGCTGCAAAACAAATCATCCCAAAACTTAACAACTTTCTGAAAGCAGTCCTATCATCCCTCACAATTACCTGAGGGTTGACAGGGGCCCAGACAGTTCTGTTGCAGGTCTCATTAGGGTATCTCATGCAGTTGGGATCAGAAGGCAGCTGAGGCTGGAGTCTGCTGGAGACAACCAAGCAAAATTGGCTTGGTGAATCCGGTGTGATAGCTTAATGGCTGAAGATCTCGCCTTGCATCCACTGGGATTCCATGTGGGCGCTGATTAGTGTATTAGTTCATCAGTTCATTAGTTCATTAGTTCATTAGTTCATCATCCAGTTCCCTGCCTGTGGACTGGAAAAACAGTGGGGGATGACCCAAGCCTTAAAACCCTGCACCTGTGTGGGAGACTGAAAAAAAATCTCCTGGCCTCTGGCTCTGGATTGGCTCAGCTTTGGCCATCGCAACCACTTAGGGAGTAAACCAGAGGATAGAAGATCTTTTTCTCTGTTTCTCCTTCTCTCTGTATATATGCCTTGCCAATAAAAATAAATAAATAAGTCTTTTTTTAAAAAATAAATTGGCTTGGCCTCCCTCTTTCTACATGTGATCTAAGACCTCTCCTCTCTGTATAGTGTTCCCAGAAAGGTAGCCGATTTCTTACAGGTGACTTAGGACTCTCCAGAAATAAGTGGAAGCTCTTCAAGACTAAATTCACAATGGGCAAGCATTGTTCTGTCATTTTGTTGGATGAATAATCAAAGGATCAGGCCCCATCTCCTGGTGCAGAGAGATACAAGGGCTGTGACCATCTTTCTCTCATTATGTACTCATTCAGCATGATAAACTGAATAACATCTACCAAGACTTTCTCCAAATCTATGGTCAAATAGCCTAATGAGCATGCTTGGACAATAGCTGCCTCCCATGTGCCAAGGACAAGATCAGATGCGCACAAGCTCTCTCTTCTTGTTCTTAGCTATCTTCTTCCCAAAAAAAATATGAGTGGTTTGGTGTCATTTCTCACATATTCTCTCACCAAGATATTCCAAAACAAGGTAAAAGATAGCCATAGATGCTGACATTGATACCTAAAGACAAAAATAATGTAGTATTTTGTAAGTATAGTTCCCTGTATTTTGCCCTATAAGGCAAATGCTTAAAAATTTGCAAATGGAAAATTCCCTTAGTGGACTGGCCAGTTCTAATGGCTATCACCCTTCTCTTGTACTACAACTCAATGCTGAGCTACTTCCACTAGATGCAATGACTCATTAGATGCTCAGTATATACCTACTGCCTTCATTTAGGTTCAACATAACTTCTTTCCCATGTGTTATGTATCACTTGGAGAAAACTCCCATGGCTGGAGACTTCTGGGAAACTCCAAGGATATCAATGTCAGCAAGCACCCCACTTGATGGTGACAATTTCATTCATTTTATTGTCATAGAATTGCTTAGTATCAGGACCTTGACCTGATAAATGAGATGTGATCATCATGAGTTACAAGAATGAACAACAGTCACCCAGCTGAGCCACAGTTCAGAGTAGGTGGCTACTATCAAGGTCAAAGATGTTCAATGAAGACCTAAGGCAAGACTTTGATTTTATTTCTTGCCCAGAGCTACGAAAGATTGAAGATCATTGAGACAAGGCCAAGGAGAGCTTCATATTGAAGTAACAATAAAAATAGCAAACATTCATTGAGTATTCACTATGTGCTAGCCGCCATACAATTTTGGAGAATTAAAGAAGCAGAAAACTGCCCATAGTCTCACAACGAATTCTAGTCACCCATCTTCAGTCCCTGAAACCCTCCCTTTAGTCCTAACATGCTGGTGGGACTTGATGAATGCAGCCTCACTCGTAAGAGTGAAGGTTCAGGCTTAAAGAGTGAACAATCATCCAGTTCTTTCCAGCAGATTCTAAACTCTGCATCATACAGAAAAGCAATATGGTGACCCAATAGGATGGTGGTTTCAGTTACCACTGCTGCACAACAAATGAATCTAGTACTTCACAACTTAAAGTAACTCTTTTTTATGGGGGGGGGGGGGCACAGGAATTTGGGTAAGACTGACTAGGTGTTTCTCAGAGTCTTGTGAGCAGTTGAGATGAGGTGTCATCTGGGCTGCAATCTTGCATTGCCTCATTTCCATGGCTGCTGGTTAATGCTGGTTGCCACTGGAGCCCAGCTAAGAATGTCACTGTAGTATGAGGAATGCCGGTATATAATACTGTTCTCTAATTTGGTCACAAGAATGCCTACAAATTCTAGCCTGGCTGTCAGGCCCTGTGAGATCAGGTCATGATGTTTACAATGCACCTGTTTCACTCCATTCCCATTGCTCTAACCAAAAGCCTTAGGCTAGCTAAATTATAAATAATGGAACCTTCTCACAGTAGTAGAAACTAGGAGTTCCCAGATGCTGGCACTGTAGGTCCAATGTCTGCTCATGGGGTCACCTCTCTACTTACAGTATGGTGCCTATTGCTGCAGTCTCAAAGTGGATGAATTCACATGGAGGAAGGGGTAAAAGAAAGATAAACAAGCACGCTCTGGCTCCTTTACAAGGGCATAATGCCATTCGCCTTAATTGTCTCTTAAAAGCCCCAGTTCTTTATATTATCACATTGGGGAATTAAGTTTTGACATGAATTTGGGAGGAAAGCAAACGTCTGCATCATTGCAGTGCCTTTCATGGGGTGCTTATTTTATCCTGGCAGACAGCTGAATGTCTAAGTGTTGAGACTGTGACCAGGTGTCCCTCTGACCAGAAACTAATTTACAACAGCAGATGCTCTAGGGCTCTTCCCTGACCTGTGTTCACCTGATTAGGTTTGGGTGTATTTGTCAAGTGAGATGAGACACAGGAGGAGCCACATGATAAAACACATGGAATAACGGAAGTGGTTTATTACCACCAGATCTCAAAGAGAGCAGAGAAGGGCGGCCCTCAGTGGTAATGAGAAAGAAGGGCTGGGCGGGAAATGCACACTCCACCAGCAGAAAAGGAGTGAAGGAACCAACAACCTGCAGGCAAAGTCTTTATTGGAATCCAGAGCATCCTCTAGGTGTATTTCCTGCAGAGAGTTGTAATTGGTGGGTTTGAAGCATGCAGGCATGAGTTCCATGGAGTCACATTGAGACTGAGAGAGGATCACTGTGGCAGATACACAAATTCCATACCAAGTGTGGGGCCAATCAAGTAGGCTGTCTTTAGCCCTTGCACAGAAAAGAGCTGCTGTGTGGATGTGGCTCTGTAAAGCAGATTTCTGGATTGACCACATCAGGGATGTAGAACAAAGCAGAGAATCAAGACACTGCTAAGGATGATTAAGTTCTACTTCCTGGTATGAGAAGATTAATCCTATAATCAAAATTGATACTGAAGAAACTTAAAATTCTAAGAATTGACTATTCTGCACAAGCTTCTTAGCCAACTTCTAGTTTCCTCCAGTGTGAGCATCCAGAGGGAACAGGTGGAAGATGCCTGGGCTTTTTTGGCTACCCCTGGAAGCAGTGCAATGGAGTTCTACAACCCTCTGAGGGATGCAGTCACAAGCCCA